AGGAAGCTTTTGTTCTGACTGACAAAAAGATGTTCCTCTGGTTACTAAGTGGATGAATGGGTCTGGTTCCAAGACCAAAGACAGATATCCATCTACCAGTAGCCAATGTCTGGTGTATTTAAAAGTGAAGGTGCACCTTCCATGATGCTGAAGGTATTCACAGATATGGTTTGACAAAAATACCTAAAATAAAGGTACATTAATATAGTGAAGTGCAACTGCACTTTACTTGATGGCAAGGATATCAAGGCTTTTATTTAAACACTATTCAGGAAGGTAAGCATTTATACATACATATATATATATATAAACAGCAATTTAATAACTCTAAATACACCTGTAGGTCCTGAAATTTAAGCAAGGCCTCTAGAAAATTAACTATAGCCTAAGGCTTTGTTGAAATTATATGCCATTGTATACACCAGTGAAGTAGGATTGCAACTATGTGATTTTCAACAGGACTGTTGACATAATTTGAGTTTCTTTTATGGTATCAAAACTATAATAAAGCATTACTAGATGAATGTTTACTAGCTAATATACATCCACTGCATATACACACAGAGACATATTTCATCTCAAAGTGTCTTTTGAAAATATTCCAGATCTTTCATATGATTTAACACAGCTATTTTGGTACTGCACAAAAACACCTCCTCAGCCAGACACCAATGCCTACATGTAAGCTTCAATACTCAATCCCCTCTGCAAATGCCAACCCTAGTCTGTTTTTAAACTAAATTCTCCACACTGGTTCCCTTGATCTAGGGACCTCCTGTGAAATGATGCTACTGTCAATAAGAACAGAAACCAGTCAGTCGTAGCCAGATCTGAACAGGCAAGATGGGATTTCTGCTTCTCTGCTGAACTTATTGCTTATCAGAATGGAAATCTTCCTGGGAAGCCTCTGTTAAGTGAAGCAAATCCAGCAAGACTCAAAAGGTGAAGCATGTTAATGCTTAGCAGCAAATTCTATAAAAATTACACGTCAGCTGGTCCCGGTCCCTACTAACAGCTTCAGCTCGCATATGCCATGGCTGTACTATCCACAACAGCTTTTGCTGACTCCTATTCAAGGGTCCTTTCAGATGCTGTTACACCAACAAATTGTTGAGTTCTACATAGGCACAGGTATTTTCACCTTTCTTTTTTCTCCCAGCCTCTACACGTTCCAACAACCGTTAAATGAAACTACAGGAACAACTTTTATGACACTATCTTAGAACTTCGTTTTCATTCCTGTTATAGATGCTGAATTTCTGCATGCTTCAGCTGAAAAGTGAAAGGTAATTTATCAGCTGCTTTCAATCTGGAAGCTAATGGAATCTGGTGAAGAAGGTTAACCAAGCTCTTCTATACTAACTATTCCTCTTCCTATATAGGAAGATTTTAAACCTTTTAATTTTGAGTGAGCAAGGTTGCAAAATCATTTTACACAGAAAATTAGTTTTGTAAGCAGATTTACATTTTCAGCACCATCTGCTCTCTTATATGACCTATTGCTTTAAACTAAGGGACTGAAATATTTCTTAGGACTGTGCTGTTACAGTGAATTTCTAAAATTTGCAATAATCTGCTTGCATGCAAGTTGTTTTATTTCTTGCCCATATAACATTTAGCCATTTTTTCCAAAGCAAATCACAAACACATTCCATTATTTTCTTTTTTTTTCCTTTTTTTTTTAATTAAAGTAAAATTACATTTAACAGAACTTGTCTTTCAGTAAAACATGAAATCTGAAGTAATTTTCTAGGAAGATAACAATGTCCCCTGTTCTGATTATCTTATTTTTTTTACCACAGAAATAATATCTCTAGGGGCAACTTCCACAGATCCTGAGCTCCGGCTTGCTTCTACTTCCATGAACCCAAGCAGAATACTTACTAACTTCAGAGCTGCTAAAGCACACTTCACAAAATCCTACCGAAAAATCATTTTACTGTTAAAACAAAAAAATTAAGTTCACATAAAAATGATCACTGAATTGTAAACAATCCTTCAGGAGATCTATATTATATCATCCCTCTCAAACCACTGAAGAGTTCTGACTTCCAAAGCAATCCTTGGACTGGTATCAAAATCGGCTTACTGATTGAACTACGCATACATGAAAGCAAAATTAGGACAAAACGGATTTCATGAAAACTAGCATTAGACAAAACATTTTTCACATCCATTTAACACAAACTTATCATGAGAGTGTAATTGCAAACAAAAATGTAATTTACCTATAACTACATCGTGGCCATCAACCAGGCCTGCAGAGAACAGCTCCTGAGAAACGCCATCTGCTGTGTCTGTTCGAAAGGTGAAATGAGTACGTGTGAGAGCCCACAAAAACAACAAAAAGTATCAGTCATCCAATGCAATTTAACAAAAATATATTTTAGTTCTGAAACACCCATGGAGGCAGGCTTGAATTCAAAATCATCTTTTATAGGAGGAAAAAAAGATAATTATCAGCCTCTACACAGCAAATCGCATGAGGTGATTTTCATTGCAAACCCCCTACAGACTTCTCCTGGCCACTAGCCTTTCTCCTTTATTATCTAACAACATACTCCTATACAAGTATGGGAGTATCTTCACAACCAAGAAAATAAACTGTGCTTCGGTGTGGTCTACACCGTTTCCTTTATCCCCTCCTCTGTTCTGAATATCTAGAGAGAGACGTGCTATATGGGCTTTCTTGTTTGTTACCAGTGGGGCAAAGAAGTTATATGAACACTCATTATTTCGAGCTTTAAGCTCAAAATAATGTGACCCAGGAAATCAGAGCTTTGGATCAATTTGTCATCAATTGCTGTACCCAAGTGGGTTAATTCCCAAGTCCCTGTGACTAGCACTTGGTCCTGGATAAACATTTTATAAGGCTTAGAGGTAGAGCAGGAGCCAACAGCAGGAACAAGCCCAAATTCCAGCTAAATCTCAAGTGTAATATGGCCTCAATACCAAATATCTGCATGGAGGGCATGCTGTGAAGCAGTTACACCATTGCTTCATTTCCTCAAGAAACACACAGAGGTGAGAACCGATGTAACTGGCCTAGCAGCAATTTCTGGAGAGCTCTGAAGGCAAGAATCATAGTAATCTTTCTGGCTGCCTCAGTGACTGACTACTAGGAACAGGCCTGGTATACTTCACCACGTCACATCGTCAACTTTTTGACTAAATAACTCTTCTGACAAATGACAAAACCAGGGTGCTCTGTGCCCAATTAAGTAAGAGATCTCTTTCGTTATTAGCCATTGCCAAAATCAGTACGATACGCAGGCAAGCAACAGAGAGTACCTCCATGTACAGAACTACTGCACATGAAAGCGACTGTGATTTACAGGAAGAGAAACATCTCTTCCAACCTGGATACATTTTTAGGTGGAGGCTCTTTGAAGGCTATTCTAGATACAGTGAATACTGACTTCTGAGAAACATGAAATGTGTTCATAGTTCAAAGGGTTGCTAGGTAACATGGATGATACCTCCTTACCCAATGTATCAGCCTCGTGTGCATTTTACCCCAGTAATACTTGGGGGTTTTCCAACAGAATTAAGTTTTAAGAGTTCTCACATCTCTTAGCACTGGAAAGCCAGCACAGTTCTACAAGCATGCAGTACAGCTTCAAGTTTCCAATGCCAGAATTTCTCTCTGGTGATGATACCAAAGCTAGAGATTCAACTCAGCTTTCAGTTGAAGACAGCATTTGACAAATGATGTGCACTTCATACTTGCTAATGGACCTTCTTTTATTACAAAGGGAAAGAAACTCAAATATTACCACCATCACCACAGACACCTTCATGGCAACTATATTGCATTTCCTACTATTTCAACTCCTATTTCCAAATTTGAAAATGGAAATTCCAAAGCTGTAAACATTGTTATGCAAGATCTTATATGCCATATAGATCACTTCAATAAGACATGAAATTGATAAAGTACACTGTTAATCAAATTTTCTAACATACAGCTTACATTATCCAACCTTACCACTAGAATTTATGTACATCTGCTATTCTTGTTCAAGTGAAGTTCAGTATAAAGCTCTGCACAGTAGAAAATATTCCAGAGAGGTAATTTGTATTAACCACAAGAGTAATCAATTTCTGAAATACCTTTTTGAAGAACAGAATAATAATTCAGTTGAAGGAGCCTTACCTCTACCTGGAGTAAACTCAAACCGTATGTCATTAAGTTCTTTCCTGGAGTTCCTGAAAAACATTTGGTGTATACATTAAAATTTAATGAAGAACAGAAAACTATTCAGTTCCTACACCCAAAGAATACCTATGGCATTGACAATCGCATTTTTGTAGTCTGAATCTCCTCAACTTGAAAAACTCTGCTGTCCCAAAGCACACAGACATGTGAGACTCCACTGCCTATTCATGGCAGTATTTGGGGGAAAACTAGCAGAAAGATATACTTAAGTTGAAAAGTGCCTTAGGTAACCTAAAGGATAAAATAAAGTCCTCTGATAAATATTTTCCTTTTCACCTTTGAAAGACACTCTGCCATACTGACTCTACTTGTTCAACATACTCTGAATCCTTTGTATTATCCCTTCTTCTCCTAGGGTAACAAAATACTCACTTGGACTTACAGCTCCCTCTCTGAGATCACATCTATACAGACATGCTCGTTTAAGAGACGAAGTATCTAGTAAACGTTAAATGCTGAAAAGCAGCATTTGATGAAGTGATTATAAATCTGTTCTGAAACGAGTAACTTCTTTCACTGACCACGATTGTTTCAGCAGCGAGGTCCTATCTACACATAAAATAAGCAGCAGAGTGTGAAAGCCAAATGTTTTCTGCCTTCCCGTTTGCCACAAAGAGCGCTTTAACCAGTTCAGCGTATGACACAGTCATAAGGGACTTAATACCTACATTAAAGAATTCTTTTACACTATCATACTGTGCTCCAAACCTCCATTCCTTGCACATTTCCAGCTCCAGTTTTAGTTAATAATTTCTACCATCAATAAAACATTAGCCTCTTTGCAAAATAGACGTCCATCTCATTTTTGGAAATAGCAAGCTGACTGAGCATAGGGATGAACTTAATTGCTACAGCACACTCTTTTTCCAATGAATAGCTCAATTCACTTGAAAAGCTAATAGCAACAGAATGTGTTTCGCGGTCCATTATTCTTCTCCTCAGCAAGAAAACTGTACGCAAGCTCATATTTCAGCGTACCAGGCCATGAAGTCTTGCTGTGGGAGAACTAAATCTAATAGGCAGGCACACTCAGCTGTGACTTACAGCTATTATCACTTGCTAAATACTTATAAAAATATTACAAAGTCAAAAAACAGCAACATGCAGGAATACAAAAACACAATGATTGGCAACACAGACAAAAGCAAGATAGCAAACCCTGAAAAATAAGTATGCCACATGCAGTGCTTAAAATGAAAAGTAGTCATTTACAGAATATACTGAATGCTTCAAAGCTAAGGAGTTTCAGGTTCCCAAAATTCTATTCTAAATAAAGTAACTGTGGGAGCTTCAGATCACTGATATGAAGCTGCAGATACTGCAGCTAGCCAGGTACAGATTTACAGGGCTCATTTACTCCTGTTGGAGAAATCTGCTGCCATTATACAGAATATTGCAGTGCCTGTTTTTATTCAACAGAGTATCAGTACGAATCTCAATTCTTTATTCCCCCCCAGCAAAACCTGGATGGCTTTTCTATTAAAACTAAATAAATAATCAACAAATGACCCATCTCCAAGTTCCTTTTTGTCAATCTACTTTGCTTTGCTGAAATGCATTATATCTAACAAGCTTGTGAAAAATGATGCTGTCCAAAAAAGGGAGTCACACAGAAATTTAATTAAATAAGGTATGTTTTACCTTAAATTAAGGTATTTACCTTAAATAAGGTATGTTTTGACTGAATGTGGGATGCAGCTCAGATTTAGATACTCATTTCTCGCACACACTTTTGCTGCTTCAAATCAAGGGAATACTTTATCTCACACCTTTGCGGAGGTAAAACAAAGTTTTGCTTCTTATTAGCAGCTATACTGAATTGTTCCAGTCTCCATATCTTTTCACACACAAACACTAAAACCAGCTGAGAAGTAAAGTTGTATATTTTGCACTCTTACAGTTATCTATATAGAAACTAATACATTAGGTTCTCAGATTATATCTTTCCACAGACCAGAAGTAAGTAAGACCAGATGTAAGTAGAGCATCCACCATATAAAAAGGCACTAAGTAATTATGAACTCTCATGAAAATTAACCAGCTTCCTAACAGACTGATAGAGCAATGTGAAAGACCAGACTCTTTTCTCAAGCAGGATACAAATGGGGTGTATTTTAACTTGTCTCCAAATTGGAGAATGTCACAAATAGAAAGTTACTAAGTCAAATTTGTGTATTTAAGTGAAGGTGAAAATTTAGGCTATATATACATATATATAATATTTAGAACATATATATATATATGTATTCAGCCATCCAACTTTGCTATCTGGAAATGTTACACTCTGAACTATTTTGAACTTAGGAAGCTACTGCTTTCTTTTAATGGTACACTAGTACTCAGGAAAGCAAAACAAAGGAAGTTTGGCAAGATTAATTTGCTAGAAGCCTGTAAGTGCTTTTGCTTATGGTTCCATTACCTTCCAGACATTTATTGATTTCCATAAATTATTTATTCCATTATATATTCCATCAAAATAGCAGATGCACTCGAGTTCTCCCCTAAAAGCTGCTCATGCTCTTCTCCAGTCTTCAGACACTTCTCTGGTTCTAGTTTAGTGTCACTGTTACTGCAAATTAGTTTCCTAGTTCCCTTGATACACTTTGGTGACAACTGTTTGGACTTGTTGATTTATCTGCAGGCAGAGTTTCCAAGCAGCATTTCATTTGTTCCATTGGAGTTCTCTTTTTACTTACATCCATTACACTCTTATCATGCAGCAGCACACATAGACTTTATTTCTGCTAAATAGAAATAGAATTTGCAGAAAGGCACTTAGTATCTTTGTGATTAATAATTTTATCTTCTTCATCATTTCTTAATGGTCCCTAGTTTAATGCATTTGTGAAAAAGTTGTTTCTATTTTAAAATGCAAACTCACCTTTTTGCCATAATACCTCTTATTTGCTCCTTGCTCTGTGCCATTACAGAAAAATATACCATTATTATCATGGATAAAAACAGACTTCTCTTTCTAGAAGTAGTAAATTTTAAATACTTTTGTACATTTTAAGACACTACAGTTTATTAATTTCCTGCAGGTTGTTTTTCATTATGGAGTCACCTACAACAGGAGGAATTCTGGGAACTGCTTTGAATAAGGATGACACCAAAGCACGCCATGCTAAGATGTTTTGGGAGCGACCTTATTTGCAAGGTACTTTCAGAATTTAAAACTTTATGAAAGCATATTTTACAAATCTTCAATATGATTTCCTCTTCATCAGGACACTTGATGTGCACACCAGGATTGCTAGACCTGATTTTCTACGGAATAATGCTTCCTCAAAGAACCAGAAAGAGCGCATGGGCCAACTTCATCATGTAACTTCCTGCCTATAAATTTAGGCCATCCTGTCATTAGGACATGAAACAAAGATGCTCTGTTTTGAAGGAAATGATTTGTAGAACAATACTGGTATTTATAAAAATTAGGATTAAACAATAAACAAGTTATGCAGCTGTTCAGATGGACATGTTTCTACCGAAAAAATCCTAAAGCATGAAGGAGATTTCACAGATTCGCATTTAAAGACAAAGCCTTTCAAATAACTACCTAATGATAGCGTAATTCCTGCTATAGCCAATTAACTATGTTCCACATGCTTGATAAAAGATCTACATTGTTGAGATAGGAAATCATGTTTGTGTAATGATGCAACTGTAAATCGGAGACATTGAATGTCATTATTTCTGTCTTTAAATGCAGAATATCTGTCATCTAAGTGAGATTCAAGAAAATTAGGTGCCTTGCAATTAAACTTAAGGTCTAAATCATGCTGGGATAGCTTGGTTATGTATCAAACAGCAGATTTTCATTCTTTTTTTGCTACTACTTTTACACACACACACAAATTTATCTCCATCACCACCTGTTCCATCACTCTGCCATGTAGACAGTGAGCATTGCCTAGATTACACTACAGGCACTCTAGACACCCATGCTTTCAATCAATGGTGATGTACCTCTGCTGGCATTTCACAAGTACATCCCCTTCCACGAAACTTTATTTCTTTTCTTAATCAGATGCTACTTTTTAGTTCAACTGTTTAATTATCCTTCCCCATCCCTCCAATAGAAAGCCAATCCAAAATCTTAATTTTGATCATCCCCATTCTTGTCCACTTACAAATGTGATCTTAACCTACCTAAAAGTACGCTGCTCTAGTGGATGCTAACCATTCTTTTCATTAGTATACCATTTTTCTGTATTATGGTTATCCAGTCTAACAAGTACAGGAATATTCTCTACTATTTCTAGGGACTGATGAGTGGAAGCAGCAAAAGACAGAGCTCTCCTGGAGCAACGCGTATTCACTCTTATTAGCCCATTTCCTCAGCAGTGAACCTACTTTATCGGATCCCAACACAGAGATGCTGCGACTCTGGCCTGGGGCACATTCTACCTCCTCTTTCACTTATCTTTCTGTATTTCTGCATGATTAAAATTAAGAATATATATATGAAAGAAGATATATATATATCTATCTTCTAGCTATACAGATAAGGAGGTAAGAAGATATACACATATACATAGGTGTATCCTCCTCCTTCTTTTTTTTTCCTGAGCTCCAGTTGAACGTGGAGGACATCACCAGTCAAGGAGAAGTAAGTGAAAACATTTAAAAAAAAACCCAAACAAACACACAAACCCAAAAAAAAAAAAAAAGGCAAAAGCTGTGCCTGGTACAATCAACAAAACACAAGCTCTGCCCAGGTACGGGCCTTTGGTTTGCCCGTGTGGGGACAGGGTTAAGAGGCCAGAGCCCCTGCACCATTTATAAAGAACACGTTGCCTGGTAAAAGGGACACTCCCTGCGCTTTCAGGGTCTGACCATCACTGAGGGCGGCCACAGTCCAATTAACCAAATTGTAAGCAGAAAAGCATTCTTAGAAGAAAGTCTGAAGAACACTTATTTATTCCATCCAATTTTCAGATAATGACTAGATGCAACTCAGGAACAGAACTGATCTACATGTTAAAATCTG